CGTGTTTTTGCGAGCGTTCCTCAAGGTAGACGCAGCGTGCTGAAGACGCGTTTTGTACTTGTTCGTCCTCACTCACCGAATAAGTTTCGTAAACCCCTGTGACAATGGTGAGACCTGCCTTTAAAGAAACGTGTAAATTTTTACGAGAGCGCAGCGCCGCGGGAAAAAGGCGCAACTCATCGAAAGGAAGTTTCGGCGGTCGCGCGGCGTGATCAAACGTTCTTTTGAGCGCCGAATCGTACTGCGTCTCTGTGCCTTCGCGCGATTGGACACCGATCAAGAATTGCCACCGTGTGGATGAGTTTTGCGAGTGCGATGTGCGTGAAGCCGTATGTGCCCCTGGAGCAGCGTTTTGCTTTACTCTGACGAGAGTATTCGTAACTGTAGTAGAGTAGCAAGCCGGGCAATATGGTAAGCGTTGAACATGGCTAAAAACCGCGCACAAAGAGACGAGGACAAACGAGGAAGGAACACAGAACACAGACAGGCGAGCACTCACTCAAAAAAAAAATTGGTTGTGTGGATATTTATACAGCGTGTAGTTGGTCAGCCATTTAAAGTTGCGACGGGTCACTCGCTGTAGATGAGCGATTTAGCCAGTGCAGTACAACCGCTTGCGTGAGGTCTTTAACGTGCACCACGCAGTAGTGTTACACGACCACACGCCGGTACGACTCTCATCCAGATCGAAACGGGCAGCGGTGGGGCTCGAACCCACTTAACGCCATTAGGCGGATATGCAGTGCCCAAGGAGGCGCAACAGAAGCCATGGCCAAGGGGATGTACACGGAACTCGTAGTATCGCGAGTGTGTTATGGCACCAGGCACTTCTGGCTCAGGAGCGGCCTGTGGCAAAGGCTGGAAACCCTTAACAACCAGGCAAGACGGGTGATCACGGGTTTTCCGAAGTTTACCCCCCCCGGGCAAGCTCCGGAGTTTGGGCGGCATCAATGATCTGTACGACATTGTCAAGGCTCACAAACCAAGGCAGGGCCATCATGGAACTTCTTGGAAAAACTACTGATCGCCTCCCAGGAATCCCCGCTAGTCATCCTCCTTGGGAAGACCTGACGGAGATCACCAGCAGCAAGCCCTCACACCGCAAGGGAGACGCCGAGCAAGTTGCAAGATAAGCCAAGGCGCACATCAAGATGGTTGAAAGCTGGGACACGAACCACACTGTTGCTGCCTACACAGACGTGGCAAGCTTCGAGGGACCGATACCCCGGTGATCGGTCGCTGTCTATTCCCCGGCATTAAACAGAGATGATCACCAGGATATCCCAGCCAAGTCCTCTACGAAGCAAGGAGAACTATATGCTATCCACTTGGCACTTGTAACTGCGTGCAGTGGGGGGATCGGTGGCCGACTGGGCTGAAGCGCACACCCAGCTCGACGCGCGTGGAGCGAAAGCTCGCGCTGCAGATCCCAGGGATCCTGGGCTCGAGCCCCACCCCTGCCCGTTTCGATCTGGATGAGCATCGTACCGGCGTGCGGTCGTGTATCACTACTGCGTGAGCACGTTAAGGCTGCGGTCCCACGGCAGCCATCTTGAACAAGGCGTTAGTTCAACCAATAGATGGCGACACGCACCCGTGGGTGGGCGAAACATTGGTTCACAGTGGGATGGCTCGAGCACCATCACGTTCCCCTCGTGGCCTTGCTCGCGCCGCTGCCAGCTGTGCTCAGCTAGCTCAAGTAGCGTGGCCCAGCAAACAGATGAATTCGAGAATGTCAGGCTGGGTATAAATAGTTCTCTGATATAGGGAGATGCGGTTCGGCGGTTGTCACGGGCTTTCGCAATAAATCTTACCAAGAAGGAATCAAATGTTGATTGACGTGTTAATATTCTATCAATGAAAATTTCTTCTGCAGGAATGCACGCTCAGTAGACTCAATCTTCCAAGACACCAGTGGAAGCGGACGTCAAGTAAACTGCTTCGCGATTTACGGTACTTACCTCGCCATTATAATTACGACTGAAATAACGTCACGAAATATTGTGTTTCACGGGGTGCGGAAGATGTTGTAAAGTTTGTTACATTATAGGTTCCCAGAAAACAAACGCCGTTGCAATATTTTCGGAAGTACCGACACACGTAATGTTGTAAGTACAGCTTAGGAGGAATATGATGAAAACCATCAGAAGAAATAGGGAGACGTTTATTTGCAATGATGACGCTATGAATGAACGGCGTTTAGCGACGGCAAGTTATAAGCGTTCGGGAATTTATAAGTTCACGTGATTGCTAACTATGGACATGCGTTTTTGTCGCGAGATGGTGTTGCGGTGAATACCTGATATCGGACGACTCGTGGCAGACGAACAAGCAAGTTTCTTCTCAGCGAATGGTAAGTGTCCAGTGTCAAGCACAACACGTGGTTACCGACGTTGTCGACGTTTGGAACACTTACCGCTTTTGACAAAAGTCCTGGCACCTAGGCTAACTTTCTGGAAAGACTCGAAGTCTTCCTTAAAGGGGCAGTCAAGTGGTTTTTGAGTTCGTGTTTTGATAATGACAGCTGAAGTTAGACGCCTTAAGTATCCCTAAAAACGAAAAAGTATAGTCATACGGTGATTATTTCTTTAATAAAATTGTAATTGAAGGCCGCCAAACCTCGGATTCATCCGAGAACGAAACCACTCTCATTGGTCGTCGCACGCTTATCAAAAGGATCTCGGGCCAATGGCGTTGGACGACGTTCCGTCGCGCAGTGATCCCGAGGTAGCCACATCGGGCGAACCTCTTTGTCATTCGAGCTTCGATCATGGCGGAGTTCTCTACGCTCGAGGACCTGACGCCGTTAGAGGTTGAAGTTCTTCGGCGGACAGCCGACCTGGGGATGATTTCCTATGACGCCACTCCGACGTGCGATGTGGGCGATAGCAGCGCTTCGGAGTCATGTTCAGGTTCCGAGGACGACGAAACGCAGATCTTTTCGGGCGTTCTTCGATTTGCGGTGTGCAAGTCGTAACCAAACCAACGTTTGACATCGCAGCGTTGCCTCTGGTGCGTGATGTCAAACGATGTCGCCACGTTGACTTTCGCCTCGGGAGAACGGGGGGAAGGCTGGTTCAGACATGTGCAACGAGCGCGTACCTACGACTGCGTCCGTTGCAACCGGAGCGACCGGAACGACCGCACTGCGCCGCGCGTACACACACGTGTAACCACTACAACAAGCGCAGCGGGTCGTCAGCACGGCGACCGCTTCTGTACGCCGCCGTCAGCTGTGTCAGCGGCCCCTCTAAAAAAGGGGACGCACTGCTACTCAATGCCGTAACAGAATATAGACAGAGTTTTCTAATCTAAAGCTTTATTATTTTTTCTTGATAGGCTTGCAGGGTACAGCGAATGAAAAAAATAAAATAAAAAGATGCAGCGCCGTCTTGGACGATCACGACTCTAATACACGACATTGCAATAGTACAAATATCGCCTTACGCCTTTTCTACGATTATAAAAGACAATGTAATCTTAGCAGCGATATAGCAACGTAGAAAGATGATTTCGTGATCAGATAGACGTTGCGAGCGTTCAGGATTGCTAACACTAATCACTTTTCTCCGGTGATGAAAACGCGTGAAAATTCGTATCCTTTATACGGTACGCGCCAGTAATACCTTGAACTTGAGCACACGCATGAAATTCGCCAAATCAGAAATCCGGGCGATGTTCGAGGACACAAATGCTTAGAAAGCACCACTGTAGTCGAAGTAAACAAACACGACGGCACGGGCGTTTCTGCTATCTTGAGAGTGCCGCCACGACATCGCCGCACGAGTAGGTGGATGTTCCCTTCTAGTACGTGCTGGGTTATCATAGCGAAACACGACGAAAATTCACAGTCTAGGATAGCGCTTTTACGCGGAACGATGAGCTTTCACCAGGCCGTCCATTCCGACGATCACCACCGACGCCACGTTTGCGGATAGAAGGAGCCGGCCGGCCCGGGACCGGCACGACCGGCCTGCAACGCGCGGAGGTACGTGCGCTTCCGCGCATCCCTGGGGAACGGGAAATTCACCCCCCGCGGAGGAAGGCAAATAGAACACGTAGTCCCTTGTTTGTGAAACGATAATTGCGCTATCGCGTATTCTAAACTAGAAATATTTTACGTCTTGTGAAATTATCATGCACAACATATTTAAATGAACTGAAAATTGTTTTTTTAGCGAAACTTTAAAAAGACCGACAAAAGTTTCAAACATACGATAATTTCATTGGTCCTCGCAAGTATAGAAAAGAGTCCGCACGTATTTTATTCCTGCGTGATTAATAGACGTTTCTGCCTTCTAAAACTGAAGATACTCATTCACTGACACTTCCTTAACACCATCGCACCAAAAAGTAGCTTCTCCAAAAACCGCTTGAGTGTCCCTTTAAGTCCAACGCCATTATGAACAGTAACTGAAAACGATCCACTATTCAATCGGAAGGTGGCGAAACTTATCCGCATCTGCGGAGTCACGGGCGATGCGTACTCTAAGTGGCTGGAAGTTTACACGATGCCTGCCATGACGTCCAAACACGTCATTGACGTTCTACAGTTACTTTTACCTACTTTTGCCCTACCGAAAATACTTTTCTCTGATAACGCGCCAAATCTTGCTTCGAACAAAATAAACAAGCTTGTGACGAAAAAAAAAAAACGGCATCAGGCATCACATTAGTGCACCATACCATCCTGCAACTAACGGGCATACAGAACAGATGGTGTGCGAAACAAAAAAAAAAGCCCTTTTGAAGCTTACGGAAGAAGCAGTTCAGTGAAGAATCGCCAGGTTATTGTTACAGCAGCACGCGACGGTCTCATCTTACGCGGCAAAAACACCCGCCGAAGCAATATTCGGCGGACGAAGAGCCACACCCCTCGATCTCATGATACTATGGCTTACAAACGAAGATCGAAAGATTCCCAGATCGGGAGAGAGAGAGAGAACATGTATTTATTTGATGAAAGGTTCACTCGTCTATGGGTTGGCGTCCCTGAGGCGAGAGGGAAAAGGAATGTAGGGATTTATAGGAAAGGGTAAGTGACAATGAATAAATCTAGATGAAGTGATGGACCCCAGAGTCCCTGATGTAGCTGATCAGAGAGTCCAGGATTTCTTTTCTGTGCTGCGGCTGTCCCTTGGGGTGGGTCCAGTCTTCAAGGTTCGTGGGCCTTTTCTCGCTGGGTAGCGAGTCCCATGACTCTACTCTAAAGTCTTCCAGGCCTTTGCATTCCCAGAGCACGTGTTTCGTCGTTGCCATGGATCCCTCTGTGCATGTCTTGCACGTTGGGTCCTCGTGGTCCTTCAGTCCGAAGGATGCTTTTTTCGCTGGAGTTAGTGCCGTCCCTGTCCTGATTCGCCGTAGCCGAACCGTCTCCCATCTCGTGTACCCTGGTGGTATCGGGTCTTCCTCTGTTAGCAGAAGACCCTTCAGGTACAGTTTCCTCCCTTCTTTGGCTTGCTCGGCCATTTCATCTGGGTCTATTGACATTTCATTCGTCGTTTCGACTCGAGAGGTAAGGCCTGGCGCGGAGCTGGTGCTGCTAGCTGCCTCCGCTGCGGCCTGGTGAGCCCTCTCGTTCCCCGGGATATCGTTGTGTCCGGGTAGCCACTCGATCGTTAAGTTGGAATCCAGCTTCCTGAGCTCCTCCGCAATATTCTTGATCTTCTTGACCGTTCTGCTTCTCGTTCTGCAGCTGCGGCAAGCTTTCAGTGCCGTCTGAGAGTCGGTGAAGATCCAGGCCCTGTTACCTGGGTCGATTCTTTCACGGATATCTTTGGCTGCGGCTAAACTTGCACGCAGTTCAGCCTCTTTAACCGAGGTCTGCGTTGGGAGCTTCTCTGACCAGGTCCTGTCCCTCGCAATGTCGACAAAGGCTGCTGCGGCAGCCCCGTCGTCCTTCGCGGCATCCGTGTACCTTATTTCCTTACATTCAGTGTTCTCCGCGAGCCACTGGACGTGTTTCTTGGCTGCGAATTTTCTCTGTTTAGTTCCTTGTCCCTTGAATGTTGGCTTGTGATCAGTTACGCCTATGTCTTGCCATGGTGGGGAAGCCTCCTCGATCGGGGGCCTACCTTCCGTGGAGTATCCTAGGATTTCCAATAGTCTTCGCCCATGTTTAGTCCTTTCGAGGCGTTGAAAGTGTGCGATTTGTTGTGACTCTGCTTTCTCCTCTATCTTGTTCATTCCTGCATATTTCCTTAGTTCGTCGAGGGGTGTGTATCTCGGTAGTCCAGTTACCACTCTCATGGTTTGATTGTTCAGTCTTTCAATTTGCTTCCACTGAGCCTTGGTGAGATTCATCCAGTTGCAGCAGTAGAAAGCTCTGGATGTGAGGAGGGCTTCTGCCATGGTCCGGATTGTTTTTTCGTCCGCCCCCCACGATTTACTCGTTGTCCTACGAATCAATTTCAGAGCCTGGTCCCATACCTTCCTCAGTTCGGGTAGCCATTCGGTACTCCCAGCTGTTTCTTCAAATATAACTCCGAGGATTTTTATGCTCGGACGCCGTTCTAGTTCTTTTCCCATGAGTTGAAGTTGCACTTGCTGTGCAATCCCTTTTCTGTGGTCCTTTGGTCTCGCAACGACCATGTATTGGGTTTTTTCAGGGGACGGCTCCATCCCGACTTCCTCCAAGTACTTTGCAACTTCGTCGATGCCCCGTTGCATGGTGAACTCCTGGTCTCCCAGCGAGCCTCCTTTCGTCCACAATGTGACATCATCCGCGTATATTGTGAACCCGATGTTTTCAATGCGTCGCAGTCTCGTTGGTAAATCTGCCATTACCATGTTAAATAATGTGGGCGATATCACTGCCCCCTGTGGTACGCCTCTGTTGTTGAGTGTCTCCGGGCCCATTGTGTTCCCGATTTTCACCTTAAACCTCCTATTGGCCAGAAAGTCTTTGATGAATTTTAGCGCTCTGCCCCTTAGGGCCGGTTGCACCAACGTCGCTTAACGCAAAGCGGAGCTTAGCCGGGAACTTAAGCTTAGTTTCGGTTTCGTTCGGTTGCACCAAACTCGCTTATCGCTAAACCTAGCACTAAACTACGCTTAACTTAAGCGCCCAACATTGGGCGCTTTGCTTCTGGTTGTTTCTTAATCCTGGATTAAAAACATGGCGGCTGGTTTGTCACGGTCGACGCGGTGGACGAAATTGGTTGTGCAAAGTGTTTTAGGCTACATCAGTGTGAAAGTCTCGACAAAATGACTTTCGATTGTGACAAGGATGCAAAATACTGTCGCGTGAAGTGTTTATCGACCCCTGTTTTCAAGTTGGCTTTCCACTTTCAGGACGTGTTAGCCCTAACCGAGAAACGTACGGAGGTGTGGGGCTCACGTATGTATTCCCGTTGGTTCTTCTGTCAACGAGCTTATTCGTATGTACTTACTAATTTTCGCATGGCTGTAACGTATTGTTGTTTACCACCTTGTTTATTTACACTTGCAGCGCGTATCCTTCAATCTGATCAGCGCGTTGAATAGTGGCAGTACATATCTCGGCGATCAGCTGATTGTCGACACCTCTGCCGTTTGCATTAGATTGCGGCGCTTTTAAGTAATAAAACAGCGAAAATTCAATTTCTTTCGTTTTCTGAGTTTTGAGACAATCTTCAGTGAATTTTCCTTATCTCGCGAGTAGAATCTTGGCTTCAGAAAACTGTATCGTTCCATAACTGTAACTTTTTTGGTGATCGCATTTTTTTTTATATACTTTGCTTTATATCTTTCATTCGTTTCCCGAGAACGAGGTACTGTTGTTTCCGCGTTGTACTCTGTGATGGTGTTTTCCCTTTACTTTTGTCGTTTGTTGTCATTGTGACGATGGTTGAGACTATATACCGGAACACGTTTTCAATAAAATTCAGTTGAAAGTTGCGCCTTGTTGTGTCCTCCGTAACTTTTTTGGTGATCGCGATTTTTAGGAATATTTTGCTTTATATCTTTCATTCGTGGCGACGACAAATCGTAACGACTACTATGTTAGATTCGTTCATTGCTGTATTGGGGCAGGCTGGGGCAGGTGATGCGAAGAGACGACCGTTCTTATCGGCACGATGTGATGTACTAGTGGGAGTTTTTTTTTTTTTTTCTGAACTCGACAGTGTGAAACTGAAGTCCGTTTGAAGCTGCAGCGGATGTTCAACGACGGTACAGTGCAGTTCTGTCGCCTTGCTGATAGCAACGAGTACCGTCGATGCAAGGTCTCGTGACCTGACCTCTCGACGACTTCTATTCGACGATTTCCGGGCATTTTCGCAGCTGCCGTGGCGAGTTCGTCACTGTTTTGAACCTCGTCGGTCTCAGGCTTGACTTGGTTTTAGTAGACATCTTACCTGCCTACTTATATCCATGATGTTTTGTCTTCAGCGATGTAGCGAGTAGAGTGTCCTTCCCGCGTTCGGTGAGATTTGGGGCCCCCGATGGCTCCTTCACCTCAAAATGTGAGCACGAAAACTACTACCGCTGTCAAAATATCCTGTTATCAACCGATATTAAACACAATCACAGATGTAAAGAGCATTCGTGTTTATTTGAAGCTTTGACTTCTGTTATTGAAAGTTAAACAAAAAAATGATTGAATTTGGAGACCTTTAATTTGTTACTCACCGAAGAAATACAGCGAAAAGCAGACGCCAAAGACGACTACTACGGCAGTTTTTTTTTTTTTTTTTTTGTTTACATCACGTGATTTCTCTTCGCCAATCGTATTCGTCGCTCTGAGCGTTCCCTAGTTTGCTCTGTTTGTCCCTAGATTCCCTACGCAAATCCAGCGTTTAGCTAGGGGCGCGTCTGTAAAGCCAGCTTAACGTTGGTGCAACCGGAATTTAAACCCGTGCTTACCTAAGCTCGGTTTAGGGCGCTAAGCCGGCTTAGGAAAGCGCCGCTTTGGGTTAAGATAAGCGACGTTGGTGCAACCGGCCCTTAGTCCACATCTCTTAGCTCCTTCTTTCACCGCCCAATGCGGAACGGCATCAAAGGCTTGTTTTATGTCAAGAGCAACTACAAGTCTTGGATCTATGCTCTTCTTGTCTGCCATCACGTCTTCGTATAGCAGCTTGAGACTGTCTGGTGTTCCCATGGCTTCTCTGAATCCTGTTTGCCTCGGGTCCAGCCTGTCGTAGGTCTCGAGATACCATTGTACCCTCTGCAGGACCATTTTCTCTAAGACTTTGCAGATGCTGGACGTTAGTGAAACTGGTCTGAAATTTTCGATTCTATCCTGCGTCTTTCCGGGTTTAGGTATTTGTGTCACCCAAGAGATCTTCCAGGAGTCAGGGATCTTTCCTTTCTTCCATGTTTCGTTATATTTCTTCAATAGCTCTTCTTTGGCCTCGCCTGGGAGGTTACTAAGAGCCGTATATGTTATCCCGTCGGGTCCGGGTGCGCTTCCTTGTTTGGCTGAGTGGATGGCCTCAAGCAGCTCCCCCATGTTGAAAGGTTCGTCCATTCCCGGTTCTTTTGGTGGTTTTGCAGCCCAGCTCTTTGAGCGTTTTTTGCCTCCCTGTTTTGCCGCCGTGATGTGCGGGAAAAATATCTGACTTGCTTTTACCGCCAGCTCCTCCTCCGTCATTTTCAGGCGAAGCGCAAGGTTCTGTGCTGCGTTCCGGCTCTTGCGTTTGTTCTTGTTCATCCCCCTGTAAGTCCGCCAGGCCTTTCCGAGTCCGGTACGCGCGTTGAATGATGCGCAGTGGCTTCTCCATTTATGCCGGCATAGCTCTTTGGAGTATTTCATAGCCATGGCAGTCGCTTTGTTGAGCTTGATCTTATGCGCCGTCGCCCTGCTTCTCCTGAATCTTGTTAACGCTTGTAGTCTACTGGCCCATAGGTTCAAAAGGTGGGTGTCCGGTGTTGGATCGCCTTGTTTGACATTAACGTGGGTTCTTGCCTCCTTCATCGCCTTGCAGATGCTTTCCTCGATGTCTTCGTGCCGCTCCAGGCTGCTTAGAATTAGCTCCCGGAATCCCTCCCATTTGATGATCGGTCGAAGCTCCTTATCTTTCCGCCCACTTGGGTGTGTGACTGTGACTTCGATGGGGTAGTGGTCGCTGCCCTGTGTGTCCCTCCTTGGTGTCCATTGGGTGTCGAGGCGCTTTGTGGCCCACGTGAGATCTGGTGTAGTGTCCTTCTGGCGTTGTTGTTTGGCTAGTCGCGTCTTGACCCCTTGTTCATCCCAGATCGGGAGTAAGTAATTGCAGTTTATTGTAATTGCAGTTTATTCGGTCGGACAACTCGTCTACGTAAGAAATTTCAGCGGAAGTCGGGCCTTCCATGTAAAACTTGAGTAAAAAATGCTCTATATGTTGGTTGACCAGAAGGTGTCATCTCTCTGAATACGTTGGATATCAATGCCCTTGAGTGTAAATATAACTAAATCACAAAACTCTCTTTATGTATTGTGTAACTGCCATTGTATTTGATAGTAGAAGCTATGGTAATGACTTAGACCTTGCACACCAGTCTCCTTTTTCTTATTTTTCGCCTCATACTCCTTTGCGGTTTAAGTATGCTTCAAGAATCTTTTGGAACGGGGACACTTTACGTCAACGAGGCCATTTGTAGTCAATCAGGGAATGCTGCTAGAAATCCGTCCCTCCTATTGACGAATAAGCCGCACTTCTGCACAGTGCAGTTTTCCTGTTCCACGTACAGTTGTAAAGCAGCATCCTCACTGATTCTACCATATTCTGTTGCGGGTGAAGAAAACCTTTGAGTACACGATACTTGAAACAAGTCTGGCACTGTACGTTGTGGTTCGACACCCACTAATGTCGTCGTCCTTATAGAGCCTCATCATTTAATCATTACCTCGTCGCCTCATATTGCTCTTCATCAACAGTAAGTACAATAGGCTACCGCCATATTATAATCCAAGAATTGAAAAATTGAGTCGTTCAGTCCTTCAACAAGTTTGTTATTTATATAACGTTATTACGCTACATTACGTCGAGACGATCGACGTCCATCGTCGATCTTAAAATACTTACGTATACCTTACAATTGAAAACGAGCGTGTTGGTTAATAGATACAAAACTTGAAAGTATAAAAACAGCGGGGACGACGACGGGAACAGGACATCTTTCATTTAGCAACAACACAGAATGGCAGAACGATAAATATCGTTGTGCCATTTTGTGTTGTTGCTAAATGAAAGATGTCCGGTTCCCGTCGTCGTCCCCTCTGTTTTTATACTTTCAAGTTTTGTATGTGTCATTTATACCTGTATATAAATTAGACGTACAAGGAGGGGGGGGGGGGGGTGGGGTCGGTGGCCGAGTGCATGGTCTAGCGCACACCGTGCTATTCTGGTCACAAACGGTCACGTTCGTGTTTCTCGAAAACTCCTCCCCCCTACGAACCGCGCGCTCCTATTGGCCACAGCCCGCGTGATAATTCCACGCGGTTCCTATGGGAACGTTCGCGAAACACGAAAGCAACCGTTTGCCGTAAATGTCGCTCTTCGAGTTCGGACCGTGACGACAAAGTGACGTATGACCACGTCCGACCTACGTAGCACATAGCGGAAGTCACGTAACTAGATTAACTGCGGTATTACTCGACACACCCTACTCTCTGTTTCACTATGAGTGCGAGCTAGTGCGGGTGTAGGAGATACAAGAACGTGCTCCGGGCTTTCAACGTCCCTGTCGAGCAGGCGCGCTTGCGCAGTGCAAGCCAACGTTCGTGCAAGATCGTTCGGGGTGATGCGCTCGTGCTTTTAACCTCTCTTTCTATTGCACGAAGCGGAACAAGCTTTGGGCAGGATTCTAGAGCGTAGAAAATGGCGGCTATGCTTGTTGCTCAACGATGGCTACGCGTACAATGACGGGTTTTCCGCGAGCACCCGGTTGCCTTCGCGATGCACGACGACTGTTTTTGACGACAATACCGCTTGTCGAAAAGCACCGTGTGATCGCAGTGTGACAACGAGAGACGGCGACGATGAGAGATGATGACCGTCGAGCAGCAGCTACTAATTGAATCGCACTGAGATTTTTCGCAACGGGGAACTACAAGGGCGCGGTTGCCCCCGATGATCACATAGCCAATGCCCAGTGGATGGTGATCAGAGCCTTGACGGCCGTTGTGAGTGTCGCTGTCAACCGGCTGGGAAGAGACGGTTGGGTCGACAAAACCTTGGACCGAGGCAGCTGAGGTATGTGCGAAAGAAGGCTTTCGTCGCCACCATGACCAGCACACCGACGTCGTCGGGTGCGTTGACTAAACTTAGACTCTAACTAAACCTTTGTCACCGTCATCATCGGTCTGAAGGAGACCGTCACCATTCTGAAGGACTCCAACACTTTGCCGCAATCACCATTTTGCCATTAACAACACGGTGGTAGGTTGACGTTTAAACTGCAGGGTTTCTACCGCTTCGAAGTTAGTGCACGCTTAGTACCTATGTCTTTAGTTGACAATTTGTTGCGGTCTGTAGCTACTGTCAATTACGCAATAAAATCTGGATGGGTTGCTGATGGCATTTCGTTGTATCAATTAGATGTTTTACCTTTTCACGCCAAGCTGCTGGAATTGCAAGTCAGTCATCGGAAAGTTATAAGAACACTGTTTTATGTCCTGCAATAAACTACGAACAGGTCTGCCCTAAAATTAATCGTTACTTGTCTATACAGCAGCAGTTTAGTCTGACAGAGTATGGTAACATTGTTACCCACTGTAGACGAGAAATTTAGCCAGTGTCTTGTGGATGGTTGTCATCTTCGTGACCAAGAAAAACAATAAGAATAGAATTGTCCTACAGTCAACATACGTGTTATGATAGCAATTCAATAGATTGTCGTTTCAAAAGTGACAGTAACTCATTGAAATTAAAGAGTAGTGTGAGCTGGATTTTTGAAATTTGCCTGTGATGCAGAGCAAATACGCACTGTTGGCCTATCACCATTAAGCATAAACGACAAGCGGAGGCAGAGTAGATCTGTGAAGGAAAAGCGAGCATATGTAAAAAAAAGAAAGAACTGCTACGTAACGTGAAGAATGTCAGAAACTATCTTGCCATTGTGGTACGAGCTAAGTGGCTATGCACATGCTTATAGCAGCCTGTGAATGTAGGATGCTCCCCTTATGTGGCAAAGCCGGGGATAGGGGGGGGGGGGGGGCGAGGGGGGGGGGGGTTTATAGGGCTTCGCTCCTTCCCTCCCCAAATCGGCGGGCCCTAGAATATACACACAAATTCCGAAACCATCCCCTCGCACCCCAAGTCATGAATATCCCAGCCACCTCAACCCCCCTCCATCCTCACACCCTTAGAAGTTCCTGGCTACGCCACTACTATCAACAGCACTCAATAGATAGTCAACATTATCAAGATAAACGAAATTTATTTTATTTTATGCACCATATAGGCAGTGTTTTTGTCTTTATATGCATGCAGCCAAAGCACACACTGTAGAAAACACTTGTGTGAAGCCTGCGTTCACAATGCGGTCCCCGTCAAACTTTCAAGGCGTTAACGAATTCCACAAATTAAATTTTCAACGAAACGAATTCGTTTTGCAAAACGCTGGCAAACTTACGTTGCGTTTTACATCATTCATTTTTGTCGTCCGATGAATCAGTAGTCAGCACTACACAAACCTCAATGAGCTTGTCGTTTGTTTTCTTGCCGTTGGGGCGATCGCTGGCGGTCGTGGCGGCGGCACAATTCCTTCTCAGACCGTTGGCTGCTGCCTCCGTGCTCGCGGAAACGTCGTTCCCTTTGTGCCAAGGTGAGGCTTTGAATTTTAATGCACGGCAACGCTGAATAAAGGTCTATTACCGTCTTCATAATCTCAGCAACGGTACCGTACGAGCCACAACAACACCACCACTTTCAAGCTTCATAACACCGGCACAAATAGAAGCCAAGTCTTGCATCTCTTCAAGCGTTACATCGGAGACGTTAAACGCCAGCTCACTGTGCTCTTCGACCCGGTCCTGTCGCCGAA